CGGCTCCACTTTGTCTTGTTGGATTCGGCTGACTGGTTTGTTGACAGTTGGCAGTATAGTTTTGTCAGTATAGTAAAGGTGATGATGACGATGATGAGGATGCTGATGGCGATAATGATGACGATGATGAAGAGCGGGATGCTAGTGATGACGGCCTTGATGTTGATGATTCTCAAACTACTATTTGTTGATGTTTCTCGTTGGTGCTGGCACAGGCGAATGCTGACCATGAACAGGTCCTTGTCCGTGCCACAAGCCCCAATTAGGCTAATTCAACTTGGATGCCCGAGATGCCAAGCACTTTGAGCCTTTGTCCCGCATTCCTAAAGCCTGAAGCATCACGCCCATCAGCTCATGGGCAGTGCTTGTCGCCAGGGCAGCCGACCCGGCCGGACGGAGGGTGCCGTGCTCAAGTTGCTAGGGTTTGCCTGCGGATTCGTTTTGCAGTTATTGGCTGTAGATGTAGCATTTAGAGCCCCACGTCTTGGTTTCGGTTATCAATTTATCAATCACCATCAAGGCCTCAGTGTGTTTGGGAAGGGAGCCAAATCCTTCGACTCCAGTTCGACATGGAAGGCTTCAGTTCCAGAACTTGGTGAGAGCATAAGTGCGAACGGTACGAAGCCTGAGGCACCCAAGTACAGCTTTGCAGGCAATCCTCTGTGGAAGGCAGAGTGTCGTACACTGAGGTTTCTGTTCTTATCATTTTGACCCTCATTGTTTTGTTTGACTCTTTCAATACGATGACTGCCGTGTGTATCATCCTAATTATTGCTTCGATGATACAGCAAGGATGTGTTCTGGTCCATCAACAACAGAGTCCTCAGGCACCAGACGGTGCAGCCAGCTTCCTCTGCACTCAACGCTGCTGCTGAAGACTTTGCCCAGCCCGCACCTCCAACCCGTCAAGGTACAGTAGTATGGGGGTTCCCTTTTCTGCGAAACTTTGTGGTTCTAACTTCGCCCCGATGAGTCCGGAACTTTCTTACCCTTCCCACTATTTCCGATTGATAGACCCGAAAGATTCCTCAGCTTGGTTGCAGACTGCAAAGTCCGAAAGAAACTGCAGAGTCAGAAGTCTGAATTAAGAAATCGTTGCAACCCTCTGTGCCTCCTGTGTTGGGAACAGGGAAACTGCTCACTTTGGATCTTGAATCGTTTCCGAGGTATCGGAGTCCGCGGTGGGCCGCGAACCCAGCTGCCAACTGGGACGCTTAGAAGTGAAGACAGGTTGAGCGGAGTTTGTGAAGCTTTGGGGTCTGCCGCGGCAGCGTTGGAAGGTTTCAGGTTAACCGTTGCAGGCCCTAGACGCCGACATGGATCCAGGGCACAAGGTTTTATGAGCACCAGCACCAGTTCAAGGCTCAAGGCTGGAGCAGCACATTTTTTTTGTGGTCTAGGAGGCTAGGAATTGGGACCGCATGGACCGTGCATGGAATTCGGAACGTGGGAGGCTCGGCACATAATGGCAGTATATGGCAGTAGTAGTAGCAGTAGCAGTAGTAGTAGTAGTAGTAGTAGTAGTAGTAGCAGCAGCAGGAGGAGTAGTAGTAGCAGTAGTCGTCTGTGGCCGTCTGCAGCCGTAGCGGTAGCTGTCGCTGTAGCTGTAGCTGTAAGGGGCAGTAGAAGTAGCAATAGATGTCGCGGAGGTAGAGGAATGGAGTGAATAGAGGTGGTAGTAGCAGCTGCAACCTGTCGTCAAAAGTAGCAGCGTGCAGGTGCCCCTGTACGTGTCTTACGTCGGGCACAGAACGACCTCCGGGCGCTCTGGGGGCATCTCGGGATCAAGGCTGGATGTCGGATTGCGTCTAGATCAGACAAGATCGACATAATATTGATATCTAAGAGTAGAAGACGACGCAACTGCAAGAAGTTGGGGTAGCTTGACTTTCTTGACTTTACGGACGGTACGTACTTTGATTTGGGGCATGCTTGTTCTGTTTTGCTCCTTCTTTTGATCTCCATGCCTTGCTACTATTACTAGTACAAGCATCAACAACTACTACTCGTACTACCTATTTCGTCCGCTCTCCACCTCATTCTGCTCCTCCTCCTCCTCCATCACGACCACGACCACGACCACAAACCGACCGCGACCACGACCACGACGACGACGACCACGACCACCACCAACGCCGCCACTACAACAGTAGCAACAACGGCAGCCACAGCAAGAACCACGAGCAACAGCAGCAGCGAGCTAACGAACGACAACAACGACAACAACGACAACAACGACAACAACGATCACGACAACGCGACAACGACAGCTACAACCACAACCGCAAAAACAACAGCAGCAACAACCAGGCAGGTGGTGCGTTTGCCGCCGCGAAGGGTGTGTCGTTTATTTTTTGACTTTTTTGCCAAAATCGTGAGAACCAAGAGTGTTGTTTGGCTTTCATGAAAAAGAAGATTTTGTGCTGCGTCGTTTTGCCATTTGTTAGTTTTTTAACGTGTGTTTTTGCAGAAGCAGAGCAAAACCGTAGTTTTCGTCGTTTTTCTTGCGCGAGTGTTGCATCTGCTGTTTTTAAAGTTGTTGTTTGGACAGCCACGAAGCTCGAGACTTTTGTATTGGGAGCGCCACCATTTTCATTGTCATCGTCGTCATCATAGTCATCGTCATCGCCATCGTTATCCTCCGCATCAACAAGCAACAACATAAACATCATACCCATCGTAGTCATGACACTTACCAAAATCATCAAAATCAGGAGCCCTACACGGAAGCAAAAAGAAACACACTACTTCTAAGCCGCATTCGCATGGACGTTATTACCCCCCCATCCCCCCTTCCCCACCCCTGCACGGAAGCAACAAAAGAAACACTACGCGTAAGCCGCAGTGGCCATGGACGACATCATCCTTCCCCCATCTCCCCTTCCTCCCCGCACGGAAGCAAAGAGAAACACAGACACAACCAATCCAAAGAAGACAGCAGCCGACTTGCAAGCAGGATCACTGTAAATACCCATAGAAGTCTAAACTGCCATGTGCTAAAGTCGAGTTTTTGCGCATTGCAGCTCTTGAAATCGAGCACGTTTTTTCTGGAAAACACGGTAAACAAACGATACGAAATGCGAAACGCAAATTTGTTGTCAGGACTGCCATGTGCCAAGGCTCGAACTTTAGCACATTGCAGCTGTGAAAACGCTCCACTCTTCGCGGCGGCTAACGCGCCACCTGCCAAGAACAGCAACAACAGCAGCAGCAACAACAACAGCAACAGCAACAGCATCAACAACACCAGCAACCACAACCACAACCACAACCTCTAACATCTACCTCTACCTCTACCTACTGCCGTTGCCGCTGCCACTGCCACTGTCACTGCTGCTGCTTCTACTGCTAGTAACGGCTAGCACTACTACGGCTACTGCCGCACCCGAGCGTGAGTTAGTTTCTGTATGACTCCCGATTCGTTTTCCATCCGTGATGGCCTTCATCTCGCCTCGCGGAGTGCGGGAGTCTCACGAAAGGTGGGCTTGGCTGTGCCGGCAGCCGGTGGTTTGGACTGGGAGCTCTTGGTGCTGGACTGTGGCAAGGCGGATTGGGCAGCTGGATGAAGGGTTGAGCGTTTGGAAGGATTGGTTTACGTGAGAGCTCAGAGTTGGGCCAATCATCCACAGGTCTCGGTGCTCTCTGCTGCACTCCTTAGACGAGGGGACCGCATCGTTCGAGTCCAGGAGGCAGGGACACATGCGCGAGAGCTGGAAGGATGAACGAACAACCATGGTCTCCTATCGATGCAGTTCTACCTGAAGTGATGCTTGTCGCTGCGTGCCGCGACGACCCTCTCCAGGAAACAGAGCTGCGTGCAATGAACCTTGGCACATTTTTGGGACTATTGTGGCGGGTATCTTGGGACATTTCGCCGTGGGTCTGCTACCTTTGATGGATCCGCCAACCGCTTGCACCGGAAGCGCAAAGACTTCTGATGCTGCTTGTGATGATGATCATGCTGCTGCTGCTGTTGAGCAGGAACAGCTGGACCAGCAGGAGCAGCAGCAGGAGCCGCAGCAGGAGCCGTAGGAGTAGCAGCAGCAGCAGCAGCTGCAGCAGGAGGAGCAGGAGTGGTGGTGCTGGTGGTGGTGCTGGTAATAGCATTGTTATGGTGATAGGATTTTTGGTATTAGTTTCGACATGATCGTGTGAAACTGCGGCAACTTAGTTTCACGTTAGCAGGATGATGGCAATGTATCACAATAGTAGCATATACACCGCGTAAGATGGTTATGTAGGCATGCTGTACCTCGGAAGTGCAATCATGTAGCACTTTCGGAAAACAGTAGCGAAGCAAAATTACGTAAGTTGCAACACCGAAAGCAACGAGGATCGCGCGGCTGGCCCTCCTTGACTCCTGTGGTGAGAAAGAGCCACAGGCGACATCTTGATCTGAACACCTTACCGTTTGACGTGTCTCAGGTTTGGGCGTCGGGTCATTCGGATTCGACAGCTTGACGTTCTCAGGTCTTTAGCTGCCACGGATTGAGCTTGCGGAAACCTTGGGGTCTAGCATGAGGTATCACTTGTTTCTGTAACCGAAAGTTTTCTATGCTTGACCGAAAACTGTTACATTGCAAGGGAGTACTAGCTTGTGCAGTCTTTGAGATCTTTGGCAGTCTGTTCACGAGCTTGCCTGGCAACTGCATTCCTGGCTTGGCTATGTGAGGCATATTGAGGCATGTCGTACGATCAGACACGATACACTGCCAAGAAAAGCCACCACGACAACAACAGCAGCAGTGGCAGCACAAAAACAAGAGGAGTTGATGCAGTGGTGATGGTGGCAATGCTATTGTTAGTAGTAGTAGTAGTAGTAGTAGTAGTAGTAGCAGTAGTAGTAGTAGTAGTAGTAGTAGTAGTAGTAGTAGTAGTAGTAGCGGCAGCCGTAGCAGTTGCCGCGAGTCGTCGTGCGTCGTCGTCGTCCTCGTCGCAGCAGGAGCAGCAGCAGAATTGAGAAATCAGTGGCCTCGCTCCAAGATCCAAGCTCCAGTCAGGTGGTTGAGCTGCAGGTTGAGTTCCGAACGCTTGCGGAGGCTGCTGGCACGTTGCAGTGACAGTAGGGTTTGACAGGAGCTTGCGAAGCGGTCTCTCGGGTTTGGGATCCTCTAGGAATGCGGTGACACAGCTATCGTGACCGTAGCAGGTTGTGGTTTCTGCTCCGCCGCCCTCGCAGGCTGCTTCCGTGGCGGAGACAGCCATGCCGCTGAAATGCCAGGTGGGGCCTGGGCCTAGTGGCATATGGATGTTATCGGCATACATGCACCGCAGAATTCCGTCTTGGTATGTATCCAGCGATGCGGTCGTGTTTCTGAAGTACCTCACTGTATTGCTCCAGGTTTAGAGTAAGAGGCTGCTTTGGCATCTTTTGGTATGTCCTAGCAAGGAATGTTTTGGTCTTATGGCAGAGAGAGGCAGTGCTTTCGCCTCCGCGTCCTTGCCTGCCCAGGGCCTCGACTTGTCCGACTGGGAGGACCCTGCCTGCAAATTTCGATCATGCCCTGGACTCGAACCATCCAGCGATGGCTGCAGAGCTTGCCGGAAGCTTTGCCGGAAGCTTTGTGACCATAGCCCATAGGCCCAATGCCGCTGCATGTTTGAAGCACTTTGGAAGGCCCTGAGTCTGTGCCGCGAGACTCGGTCAGGACGATGACCTCCCCTCGCTGCCGCGCCTTGTCCGAGAGAAGCTGCACTCCCACTCATTCGACTCCTAAGAGCGGTGTCTTGGATTCGGAAAGGCGTCGAAGGATCGTAGCAACGTCGCATGAGCCGAGCTGCGCCTTAACCTGGAAGTCGAGAGTGCTAAGTGTCTGATGAAACCAATAGGTCTGGAACATGGCAGCACAGATCAGCACAGTGTTGGGTGGCCAGCAACATCGTCGATACCTGAAGGTCCCTTCAAGGCTTAATGATGTGTGTGTTGTGGCACCTCCGTACTGGCACATACCATGCTCACATGCCTGTAGCCGTGGTCGCCTAGCAGCCTTATTCTAGTCGCCAGGAGGCCTCCGACCACCTTCTGACACGGCGGTGCATGAAACTCCAACTACTCTTGAGCTTGGTGGAAAAAGCACTCAAAGACGCTCAGACCAACAAAGGCGTAGATGCGCCACTTCGAGTCCAAAATCCTATATCCCCCATCTCCAAAGCCTCAAGCCCTGGTCACTAAGCATGACACATCCTTCTTCTCATTAGCATCATCATTATTATTGTTATCATTCATTGTTATATCTATATCTTTTATTTATTATTATGTCTACGTATAGATGTAGCCCAACCCCTAAAGCAACCCGCAACCCAGGAGCTACTCAGAGAATAGCCGAAGCCTGGACATCCTGGCGGGGGTCCGCCACTGAGCTTTCCGTGGGTATAAGAATACTGAGAATAATACTAATAATAATGGTGTTAGTAGTAGTACTGGTAGTGATATTGGTACTGAGAACAAGCGTAGTAATAGTATTAGTAATCAGAATGATAGTAGTCGTAATATTAACAGTAGTACTAGTTACTATTGATGTTAGGGTTCCGGCGTGCTTAGTATGCGGTTTCGGTGATCTGTTAGTAATCGGGTCCTCAGTATGGGGTTTGGGGTTTTGGGAGATCAGATCCTCAAGTCCAGTTTCAATGACGTGGAGTCTTGGATGCTTTCGACCGGTGTAGGTCCGGTGGCACTTTGGGCGCTAGGGTCTTGAGGCTGCAAGATTTAGTTCAGGCGGCCCTCATGGCAAGGGAACTTTGGGACTTCGACTTCAGAGCTTAAGATGTTGAGTCTCGCCGAGACCCTCTCTGACCGTGGGTCGGTTTTTCTTGGTGTGAGGTCACGTGCTTCTATTCAGGATGTCAGGATTGGCGAATGTGGGCTCGGATTTGGCGCAAACCAGTCAGAGGTTTCCTTGCAGCTTGCCCTACGTGCGACCGCGTTCCAACTTCTGGTGCCTTTGCCAACCCAGTTTCGCCTCGAACCTTTAACCAGTAAGATCCTGAACTCGAAACCCTTGGTCTACGAGAAGAGAATGGGCAGGGCTCTAGCAAGCGCGATTCTATCAACCCTACGCCCTAGACTTGAAGAGACTCTTTTCGGCTTGAGATCTCTTTGGCTTCGAGTCCGCTGTGCCAGGCCGGGGAGAGCCGGGAGCGCACCATGATGATCCGGCTGAGGAGGCGGCAAAGGGAAGATGGAACAAAGCAGGGGGTCAGGGTTTAGGGCCTAGGGCCTAGGGTTTAGGGTTTAGGGCCAGAGGAGGTTTACGTGGTTTCTGGGTTCTACGCCTGGGGATGAGGTCTTGAGCTTTACCGGTCAGCATTTATGGAATAATGGAGAAGGTTCCGTCACGGCGATCCGGAGGATGTAGGGCTGGCCGTTCGGAAGTGCATGAGACAAGCACTCTGATCGGGCTGCTACTGCTGCTGTTCCTGCCCTTGCTACTGCTACTGCTACTACTACTACTATGCTGCTACTACTGCTGCTACCACTGTCCCTACCACTACCACTACCGCTACGACCACCACTACGCCTGCTGCCTTGCAGCTGCTCCTTGCTACTACTAAGATCACTGCTGCTGTTGTTGTTGTTGCTGCTGCTCTTCCTCATCCTACTATTACTGCACTGCTGTCCTTCCACCGATGAACCCGGTAAAGTCGGCAATGATTAGTTGTTAAGTGGCAACTAGCCTGGACATGTGTCGTCGAGAAGGCACCAGGCACCAACCGAGCCGCTTGCGGCAGCTTTCAGCTGTCTTGAGACACGTTGTCTGATCGCTGCAACCTCCTGCCAGGGTGATCCGTGGCCTTCGCGAAGCAGAGATCCAGGTGATCCTTGATAAGATGATCCTGCAAGGGGAGTGGGCGGCCCAAGCTCGAGCGGGCTGGACAGGAAGCAATGCATTCCACAACCGATCGTAGCATGAGTGTGGTAGTTTCAACATCCATCGTCAGATTGTTTTTAGACTGTCGGATTCTGCTTCGAATTCCTTCCAAGTCCGAACCAGACTATTGCTCACGCTTTCTTCCCTTCGCAGTCGATGTTCAACTTGTGGCTTATTTGGAGGGTGTAGAGCTGTGCACACGGCGGATGTGCACCCTGAACCGTCTCATGCATGAACACACCTCGACCTGAATCCCAGGCCGCTGGTGTCTGCTTCGAGCCCGGGTGATTCTGATGCCATCGCGGTGGAGGCCTCCGCGGTTCGGATTATAGGTTTAGGGTTGAGGGCTGGGGCCTTTCGGGATGAGACAAAGATTAGTAAAGATTTGTGGAGTTTTGGATTCTTAGTTCCAGGCTTGAGGGAACTGTTGATCTCGCTACTGATTTCGATGCTACTACTACTACTACTACTACTACTGCTACTACTGCTATTACTGCTACTGCTGCTAC